CTCATTTAACTAAATTTTGTCTAATTAAATCTCCACTTCATTAGGTGACTCACATAGAGCGATTGCAAATGAAGAGCAAACCTGACATTTTGTGGATTCCATGAAAGCTCCTTGTCAAAAATTGTCTTCAAGGCAAATATTATTTATGCAACCTTATGGATGTTAGTATGCATCAACAAGAAAAGAAAAACAAAATCAAAGAAACAAAAAAGAGCAATTAACGCACAAACTGAAGATATATCAACAAAAGAATATTAGAGCACAACATATATCATAAGTTATGATTCCTAATTTCTGGTTAATTTTAAAGGGGGGAAGGCACGCACTACTTGTTTTAAGTCTCTAAGGTTCATTACATGTGGTTCGGATTAAGAATATAGAGGTTTTAAAAATTGCTCCTCACTATTGTTTATACTAAACTATTAAGGCAATTTGATCCTTACTTATGATAGGATACAAATGGAAAGGATTTAATTTATGTGGGAGTATTTCGTTATGGAGGCATTAGAACCTCACGAAAGCATATGTACTCTAATCCCTCATAAAGGGATGGAGCTTGGATATAGAGCTCATATTATGCACATGCTCTTTAAAGATAGAATATTAAATGCTAATAAATCATTAAATTGTAAAAATAATAACACTAAAAAAACTTTTTTAAAATATCAAATTTTAGCTTAGACTCACAAAATCAATTACTGGCTCAACTTTTAATGCCTTTAGTGGAGTTGTCAAGCTATCATAATGATTTTTCAATCGCTAGGCACAAAAAAAAGTCACCATCAATCTTTTTTATTTAGATATGATTGGTCACCTAAAAAATTTAACCTTTCAATATGTCTTAAAATTGATTTAGATTTTACTAAAAGTAGATTGTAAATTGCAAAATCAAGATAGTGTTTGAAAGTATGGTTATGTGTGGGGAACGTGTTAACACCACCCCACAACATCCATCTAAGGATAGTACTAATTAATTTTATGTTATCCTAAATGATCTTAGCTGAAATGGTCTTTTATTCAAAATTTTTGTCAATTTTATTTTTATTTAATTGACATTCAAATATTGAAATTTTCTAAAGTCTTTCTAGCATTTTCGTTATCACTTACGAAATTTTCTCACTTTAAGAATATTCAAGAAAATCAATTTTTTCTTGAAATAGTTCCATCATTAGATTCAAAATGTTTTTATCTTATTTTTTAATTTTTTAAAAGAGAAATTCAATTAAAATTGAAATCTTTGATAATGGAAAAATCTTTTTAAATTACACCAATATTTTAGCATAAATTTAAGAGTGTTTCTCACCTAGAAATTTGAATAGAAATTGCTATTGCAATTTTCCAATAATTCTATCATTGGAAGATTCAAAATTTGAATTTTATTTTTCTCAATTTTAAGAGAAATTGATATTTCAATTTTCCCCAAACATTTTTTTAGAAAAAGTGTATTATAAGGGAAAATTAATATTTCAATTTTTTCTTTAGTGCTTTTAATTTTTTTATTTTTTATTACCTTTTTTAAAAAAGAATTTAGGAAACATTGATATTTTAACTTTTTTCTAAATACATTTTTTCAAAAATTTATCGCCATAAAAAATTGATATTTCAACTTTTTTATTAACATTTTCAAAACAAAATCTTTTGTTCTATTTTCTTAATTTGATTTTTTTATTTTCATAAAATTTAGGAAAAATTCATATTTCAAAATGTTATTTTAAGAGAAATTTGATATTTCAACTATTTCCTTAGGATTTTAAAAAAAAAACTCCCTTTTTATTTTCAAAAAATATAAGAAAATTTGATCTTTTAACTTTTTCCATAGCATTTTTCAAAATTTATTTTATATACGTTTAAACATTTTATTTTTCATGTATATATAAAAATATTTTTAATTCAACATTAAAATACACATAAAATAAATATATGCAAAGATAAAAATAAAATTTTAAAAAATTTTAATAATATATTAAAAATACCAAAATTGCCCTTGATCACCACTAATCAATTACTTAGTCAAAAGTTAGTGATTCGGCTAATTTAGCTGCAATCCAATTAAATTCCTTTTAGTTCACAGTAGTGCAATGCGATTTGATTTACAGTGGGTCAAATTACACGGATCCCAAGTCAAATCCAAGCTGATGCATGAATCTCTTTGCCAAAATAACGTTGCTTCAATGGGTTTTAAATAAGCCAAATAATTTTTTTTTTAATTTTCTCCTTTCTCTTTCTCTTTGTTCCCTCAAATTTTTCTCATCTCTCTCTAAAATCCCTTATTGAAAAACTCATCTAAGCTAGAATCTAGCAAAATTTTCAAAATCCAATGGTTGGTAAATTCCACGTATTATCAAAAATCTCAAAGTAACCCAAATCCTGACCAAAAATTTAAATTTAAAAAATTTATTCGATCACAAAAAAATTCAAACTTTTCAAATTTTGGTGACCCAAACAAAATTTAAAAAATCCTAAAAAATTCCAAAATGAACTTTTCAACCTCTTAAAAGTGATTTTCCAACTAGCTTCCCCTAAAAAAATCCCAAATGGGCTAGTTAGGGTTTTTTTCTTTTTAGTTTTTCAAAAAAAAATTATGTTGGTTCCCTTAAGTGATGTGGCTAATAGGTTTCTTTTCCTATATATATATATATATATGTATGTATGTATTTGTGTTTTGGGTATTCAATGGTTCTTGGGCATGAATGGGTCTCTAGTATTTGTTTCAGGTATGGCTAAAAATGGGTTTTGATGTAAAGATGGGTTTTGAGGCATTTAGGTGATTATTTTTGTGATAGAAGGGATGGTTCAAGATGATTGGGCAAAAGGTTTTTGTTTTTTTATGTTTCAAATTTTTTTGTTGGGATTTTTTTTTTAATTGTTCCCCTTTTTTTCTATTCATGAAAAGTTCAATTTATAAAGCCATTGGATTCAACTCCCAAAAAATCTGGGATTGAAGAGTTTTTCAAAGTTATCACACTAGTGAAGAATTTTCGGCTTCATGATTCTTTTCGCAATAATAGGTTGGTGTCAAGGTAGTTGGCATTGCATTAAATTTACAAAAACTAGAGGGAAAAAGAAGAAAGAGAAGAAAAAGAAAATAGGGATACAGAAAAATAAAAGAAATAAAAAATTACATTTTGGTTGAATTATTTTTCAGTTTGGTGAGATTGGGTTTAAAAATTTAACTTGGGCTTCATAGTGAATTTAGGCTTCTAAGTCAACATTGAAATGGTCCAAGTTTTCATTAACTTAAAATGAAATCCAATTGAGCCAAATATGAAAGTAATTTGGTAAATCCGATTAAATATTTGAACAAATTCCAATAAAATTGAAAATCGATTTAAATTTATTTCAAAACAACATTTGAATTTTTCAAACAAAATGAGTGTCTATATATGTTTTATTATATAATTATGTTTTTTCAAAAGACATATATTACACTTTACTAAATTATTAAAATTTGAAGTTTCAATGAAGAAATGATCTTTTTTATGATTTTATGAGTAAAACAGGTTTCAAATGAATAAAAAAAAGGCAAATAATTATTAAAATATACTATGCATTTCCTCTATTTGATTAAAAAGGTAGAGAAAATCATGTTGAAACCTAAATTAATTAAGATAACTTGATTGCACTTAATGGAAAAGATATTTAGTTTGATTTTTTTTAGCTTTTTAATTACAATATCTCAAATTATGCCTATACCTTGAATCACACAAGGTTACATAATTTTTACTCTAAGTTTGTGATGACAAGAAAGATGGCTATATATATATATATATATATATATATATACATATAAATATAAGACAGATGGCAATAAGCAAAAACATTAGAAATGTATTGGTGTTTCATTGAAGAATAAGGTTTATAAATTATTACATTACTTTAAGGTTTGTTATTTGTCAATCGATTGGGTCTGGCAATTGGGGAAAAATAAAGAAAAATAATAAAAATTTGTGTTAATAGATATTAAATTTTTATGAATAACCACTTATTTTTGAAAAGTAAAAATTAAGTTAACCAATTTTATTTTAAAATTAGGGTATCCGTCTAAATAAATCTAAATATTTATTAGATTATATGTTATCAAACTTAGGACATCTCCTTGATTTCTTCTTTCCCTCTCCCCAATAAATTTTTTTTTTATTAGCTTATCTTTTTTATGTTTTCTAGATTTTTTTTAATTTAAAAATTAAAAAAAAAATAAAAACAATAACGTGGCATTTGTTAGGCACGTGACATGTTCGTATTGGTTGTTTATGAACAATTCCTTAATTTAACTAACAAAAATATTGTCAATGTTGAAATTGATGAACAGAAGCAAAATTAGAATATTTAATTAAACAATTTTTTTAACAGAAAATAAACGGCACATTATGGAAGTACCACATCAAACATTTTATCAATTGTAATATGTGTACCAAATGTAGAATTAACCTTTCTTAATTTCCTATTGATTCCTTCGGCCAAAAAAAGATTCCTATTGATTTAATAGACTGGGCTCACTTCAGACGTCGGCTTGAATTTCTTGCTGGGCCACTGAAAGAACGGAATTCTTTCTAAAAGTTAGTTGTGAAGATTGAATTGGGCCTGGCTTCTGGAACCAAAACATGCCGTGCTATTCCTGATTTTTCATCTTGTTATAATAAAATTTATGTGTCAGAGCTTCATGTCACTTTCAACCGTATTTATAACCGGATTGGACATTGACTCGATTAAAGGCTTGACAGGATCATTTGGATTAAATTTTGGATCAATAATAATTTTTAAATATTATAAATAAAATAGTTTCTACATTTAAAATTTATTGAATGAAATAAGCACCTTCACCATATTTACTTGTTCGTTACTAGGTAACTTCATTTGACCTTATTCATAGTTCTAGTTATATAAAATTGACAACGCTGGCTTGCAAATTAATGAAACTTACCGATTCCCAAATGAACATTCTAAAAAATTAAAAAAAAAAAAATACAATTCATAACAAAGCAAAATACAACTCCACAATCTGAAAAAGGCCACGTGGAGATCAGACTAAAAAACAAATATTTAAAATAAAAGAAAAATGTAATATTAATAATAATTTTTAAAAATTAAGTTAAAATGATTCCTGCCGCTGAAGCCTCATCTCTGCATAGAACCTTTCAATGAATCTCTCAGCCCTTTTATCAACTGAATCTTCTTGATCTTCTTCTAAATCCAATTCCCCTCCAATGGAAGCTTCTGCCAAATCTGCTTCCAATGCCAATCTGCAATCTGCTTCTCCTCTTACTTGGGCTTTCAAGCAACCAAAACACTTGCACCAGAACAGCATCGAGTATATATCTTGGATGCGTCTGCTTTTGAGCTCATGTCTTCTGTTGTAGGAATGAATGAAAGGAGTACTTGAAGCAGAGTCAAACTGGTACTCTCCAAGGAACCCATAGCTGTGCTTGAGTGGCTTAAACCTCTTAAGCTTTCTCGATTTCTTGATAAAAATGAGCTTTGGAATCATGGGTTTCTTCATTTTGGTAAGTAAGATGGAGATTCTAAGAAGATTGTTGGCTTTGGCTACCAACTTGTGCAGAATGGGCAATCTCTTCTGGTGCATTTCCATGGGCTTTCAGGTGGAGCTTTTTTTGGTTGATTCATGAGTAAGGAAGCTGGTAGCTTTTATTGATACAAAAAGTTGAAGAAAAGTATGGAGATCTGATTGGTTGGTGGGGGAGCCAAGCTGTAAAAAGGTAATGGTTGGTTGCGTTTTGTACTTTTATATAAAGGAATAAGCAAGTAGCCGTTGCAAGCTCAAACAGGTCCGATTCTTTCCTTCATGTCTTTTGAAATTTTAAGTTCGACCTCTTTTATAGGCAATCCCAAGGTAAAAAAAACCCTTAAACAGACCATTATTCAGTAAAAGTTGCCTTGACAAGAGGATGGCGACCTTTTCAGCTATTAACTACTTTTTGTGCAGAACACATGAAAAGCGTTAAAATCCTTTTTAAAGAAATCGTGTAATGGAAGAATAGGATGCCAATTCAAAACTCCTTCTCATCACCCTAAAAACATTTAATAGAATAATTATGCATCATGCACGTATTTCTAAATTCAAAGAGTAAAATTAGAAATTTTCTTTTTTCAAATTAAGAAAAATGATAAATTTCATTGATATCTTCATAATTTTGTCATAATTTAACTTCAATATCTTGGTTTTGAAAATGAACATTTCCTCCCAAAACCGTAAACAATGTTAATAGATATGCGTCAATTACTAAACTACTCATAAATTAAAATATAAAACATGATTAATTTATATAATACAAAATTAAAAATGTTTTACATGTTTTTTTAACTTTTGATTTTAATATATTCAAAGGATAAAAAATAACTAAAACTAGAAAAAAAAAAAAGATTCAATTTCATCTTTTGGATCTATTAAAATAAATTATTAAAAAAATATAAAATTTTAAAAAAAATTATACTGTGTAAACTGATATATATATATATATATATATATATATATAAACTAATTACTAAATAAGAGTAAATAATATCATAAAATCATGACTTAATCGTGGCTAAGTGCAAAACTTTTTTACCTTTTTACTTTTCTACCTTAATCCCAACCTGACTTATATGAACTAATACATTTTAAAAATAAACTTCACGTATACTTCATGTGGTATTCCATTTTACTACTTACACTCCCAAAGAATTTATTCCCACTTATAATATTGACTACGTTATAAAAAAAAAAAAGGTGACAGTGTCAAATTTGATCTAGATTTTTATGAAATCCTAAAAATACCCTCAAATTTCAGTTACATGTGAAAATTTAAATTAAAATTAGTCTTAAGAATCTAAATTTTCCCCTAAACACAAAAATTCAAAGAAAAAATATAAAGTCTTCAAAAAATTCAAAGCAAAATCATCAAAGTCTTCAGGAAAAGTGTCAAAATGACATCTTCCTTTTCCTCTTCTGAGTCATTTGTTAGTGGGTTTTAAGGGTTTATATGAATTGCGAATTCCTTTTTCTGTTGACGCATTTTCTAGCCCTTGTTTCAATTTTGAGACAAATTGATATTTGGTTTGCTACTTTGAGACAAACAAAGCAGCAAAAATGGTAGCTCGCAAGAAAGCGTCAGCAAGAACGATAGAATAGAAAGACAACGCTTCCTCAAACCCAAACAACAATCACCCAAATCAAACCACCAATCGCTCCACCAAAGTAAGGCTTAATCTTTAAGTTTTGCGGTTTCTTTTCAATCCCATACTTTTACTTTCTTCACCAACACTATAAGATCGAGCAAGATCACAAGGGATCCATCCTTATTAATGTTGCACTTAGCGTTGTAGGCTTCTTCCTTACTCAAAAAAATGATTCCCGTTGCTTCTAGATATGTTTGAAATGCGGTTTTATTTGGATTTGATTTTAACAAGAAGGGTACCCCTCAAGGCGCAGCTAAAGTGTAAATTTAAAACTTTTTGTTTTTTTATAAGAAAATTATTGGGTTTTGATTGCTTTTGAATTTGATGAACAGAGTTTGCTTTAATTTTCAATTTTGATTGAATTATGTAGATTGGGTTTGGGTGTTTATTCAAATTCATAAGCTGGGTATCTGGAACGATCCTTTTTAACTTTACATTGTTTAATAAATATCTCTATTTTATCATTTTACTTTCAATTCAATGAATTGGTGATTTTTTTCTTTTTTAGTATGAATAAAACTTCATTAAAAAACTACTACAGTGTCCTGCTGGACTATCACATTATCCCTTTACCTACACCACCATCTTCGTACTCCAGAACCAATTTTACTAACCAGTGTGCTGCCCCATTCCCTTCACTTTTGACATGCAAACATTCCCAAGCTTGAAAGCCATGCAATCTCACATTTACTTCCTCGATCAGGTTTCCCAAGTAGAACATATCCATGTTCTTCTTCTTTATTTGGTTAATGATCCCAACCGAGTCCCCTTCCAACACCAACTGTGAGTACCCAATGACTTCTGCAAATTTTACCGCTTCCAAAGCTGCAAATGCTTCTGCTATCCTAGGATCAGTTACGTTTGGTTCCCTCATATGCGTTACTGCTAAGACCTGTCCCATTGAGCTTCTGGCCATTATTTTTGTTGGTAATTTAGAATGTGATATATTTTATATTGGATAGAAAGATTTGATTATTAATTTATTGATAAATAAAATTAATTTTGTATTAATTTTATTCATATTTTAAATAATTATATTTTAACAGAAATAATTATTATATGATAAATAATCATAATTATTTGAATAAGTAGATTATTATTTATAAAGATCACGATTATACAAAAAATTATAAGCATTTGAATAGAAGTTTATGTTTATTCATTTATTATAAATAAATTTTTCAGTATAATTATTTTTACTATTTTTAATTGGAGAATTTGAGGCTTTATTATATTCTAAAGGCATAATTCTTTCAAAAAATTATTCTTCACACCTGAAAGCCAAAATTTTTTTCTATTATTTCTTTTCATTTATTTATTTTTCTAACAATTTAAAAGCAATATACCTTTATATTTTGCATGAGAAAGATACAAGGAAAAAACCTTGACAAAGTTGACAAAATCGACTTTTGAAGCAAGTATGAAAATTTTTGATTATCCAACTAGATTTTTGGTGAAATAAAATACAAGATTAGTTTCTTGTTATTATCCTTCTAGTTTGTACATTCTACTAAAAGAATTGATGATTAATAATTCATAAGAAACCTTGAGTTTCATTGAATATTGCTTTTTTTTATTGACTATTTTTTTAATCTTTTGATTTTGAATTAAATTATTTAATTTATAATTCATGATTTTATAGTATGTTATATGTGAATTTTCTTAATCATGGCATTGAATGGTCATAAGCATAAAATGGATTATATTTTAATAAAATCATGGTTAGCAAATCAAAACAATAAAATTTTCAAAAATTATTTTAAGGCATAAAAGAAATTGTAAATTTATAAATCTTTTCAAAAAAGAAGTAAGTATATAAAGTCTTATAATAAAATCATATTTTATGGTCAATATTCAATGATTGCATTTTATTGACAAGAGAATAATGCATAATTCATATTTTTTGGTTTAGGGCTTTCGGGTAGATTTGGGTTTTGGATAGGTTCAAGGTTTTAAGATTTGAAAATCTATAATCACTAACAATCTTCACAAATCCCCTATATCTAGTAGGATTTTAAAAACAAACATAATGATTATTATTATATTTCCTAACTAAGAGTTAATGTGCGAACATATGTGTTAAAACAATGCCTGATAATGTTTATGATTTTTAAATGCTAAACATGATATTAAATTAATGTGCATATGATGCATGAAATTAAACTAACATGATGTTCACATGACTAGAGCAAATTAACAAACTCTTAACCTACACAAAGACCATAGAAAAGAGAGGTTTTAGTCTAGCTTGGGAATTACCTAGGCTAAGAGCCCCTATAGGCATAACAAATGATTTTATTTGCCATTCATGAAAAGTACTAACCTATTACCAAGACTTATAACAAACATTTGGGAAATATGGTAAAAGATCACATTCTTATTTCATCAAACATTTAGAAAATTCTTAAAATACTACTTTCTTATTTTGAAATTTTTATCAAACACTTGACAAACATCTAAACATATATGAATTCTTATAAAAAATGCAGTAATAGGACCTTTTAACAAGCAATACAACATCAAAGAGAAAGAGAAGATCTCAACCTAGCCATTCGAAAAGCCTAGGCTAAGGGCATTTTGTTGCCTTTTCATAAGAAAATCAACCCACAAATTAGACATTTATCAAACACCTAGAAAACATATTTGGAAAGCCAAACAATCAAACTACTCAAATGGAAACGATTTTTCATCCACCAAAATACATATCCAAGAATCACAAGGTCGAAAAACATTTGAACACAAAATCCCAATCATCACAAAAACATCAAAACAAGAAAATCAATAATTGTAAATACATCACATCATGAAAACCAAGCAAAAAAATCATCTATAATGGTTGAAGGAAGTCTTAGCCTTATGAGATCCCTAGGCCAAGAGCTTGAAATGATTCTTTAAATGTTGTTTTGATAATCTTTCATTTCATATGTCTTCCATTATATTGAAAGGATGTAATGATGAATCAAGTAAAAAAATATAGAAGACAACCATGGAAAATGTTACTTTTCCTTTAATGAAAACCAAGCAAAGCAAAATCTACATGTATGAAAAATGAAAAGTATATAGAAAATAATGGTAAAGGAAGAAGAAAACTATTTTACTCCTTATCTATTTCATTAAAAATTTTCTCTTTCTTTTTTCTCCAAGAATGGCATCAACCTTTCTAATCTCCAAAAAAACCCCTTTCAACTTCTCATGCATCAAATTTAAGGACCAAGACCACCCTTAATAGCCATTAGATCAAATCTTATCCAAGGTGGTAATTCATTATGCTTAGGTGTCCTCCAATCTCTAATGCTAGCCATTGGATCAAAACCACCTAAATCTAATGATTTCTTTCATTTACAACACATTCCCTTTTCAATTATGCAAAGCTACCCCTTAAGGTATGCAAAATTATGACTTTGCTACTCCTAAGCGAATTAAGCCTTTTTGCATTTTTCTTTTGATTTTTCCATTGCAATGTCGATACCTTGACTTTATTATGTTGAAAAATGATCATGAGGATTCTATAAACCTAAATTTGTGTCTGCACTGAAAATCCAACCTCATTTTGACTAAATTTATAGAAATGCCCTTAAAAGGTGCTTTTAGACTATTGTGGCTCATTTGAGGTCAAATTTTGATTTTGAGATCTCGAATCATAA